TGTTGTGAGGATAAATGAGGTGGAGAGCCACATACTTTTCTTTGAGCCCATTGGTGTAAAAATTGAATTTAAATTTAATAAATCTGTGGAATGGAAGATACTCCACCATTACTAGAATAGGCTTCTGAGGAATGTTTATGGTTCCTCAGAATATAACTTAAGAACTACTAATATAGACCCAGCAAACAAGCAACAAACAAACAGAATCTTCTATCATGTTGTAGGTTCACTAGGAGTTCAGTAAACCTCCAGTTTTTGCTGCTTCTTCAGAACTACTATAAAGGGAGAAGAAGGCATCATACACAGCTAAATGGTTGTTTGTCTTGATATATCACATGTGTAGGACTGGTATAGATAATATTTTTATGTGTGAACTGCTTGCCCAATGCCATTTAAAACAAGCCATTTTATTATTTAGATTCTGTTTTGCATTTTTATTCTATCCAAATCCAGTGTTGATTCCATTAGAAGCTGCCACTTCCTGCTGATGTTTCTTTGCCATACAGCTGAGTTGTTACTAATAATTGATCTATTTGAACAGTCTGCATACTTTGAAAGTCCTGGTTGGTCAGTTTCCATAAATCCTTTCATTAAAGCATTTAATTCCTTCTCCTTCAGAAAAAGAAATTTTCCTCTGTGAAGTGTGCCTTGGACAGCTAATCAATACTTGGACAGCTAATCAATACTTCTCACAATGGAACAAAGTAAACAGGAGGTCCCATCCCCAAAGATCTGTATTGGGAGTAGTGCTTTTTAAATTTGTAAACAAATGATCTGGAGTTAGAGAATTAGGAATGAGCACTAATGAGGCCAAGTCTCGTTATGACATCAAATAGTATAGGATAATTGAGACGAGACAGAGAGAGAGAAGGAGAAGAAAAGAGATAATGAAATCCTCTAAAGATCTCTCCAGATTTGGGGAAATCAACATTAAATGTCACATCAAGTTCAGTATATGAAAGTATGAAATGGTATATTTGGGGTGAAGGGTCTATGGAGAATTCTGCAGGTATATGCTGATGGGGTCTGAGTTGGTGGTGACTAACCAGTAAAGGGATATTGGATAAGATGGACAGCTGAGTGAAAATGTTGGCCTAGTGTGGAGTTGTTGCAAAAAAGGAAAAATTCAAGTTAGAATGGTTAGGAAAAGATTTTTTTATAAAAAGCCGTGGCAAGATCATAATGTCTTTTTACAAATATTTGCATTTGTAATGTGTATAAAAGCTCAAGAATGGTATTGCATAGCTCAAGATAGTGAAGAAAAGGCAAAACTGAAATGTTGAGAGGATTAGAACACCTTCCCTATGAGGAAACATGACAGTGTTCAAGACTAATCAACTAAAAAACAAAAACAAAACAAAACAAAAAACTACACACAAGAAAGGGAGATAATATAAAATTAGGCATGGTGTGAAAAAAATGAATAATATTAGAACCTAATGACATTGAACAGTGAGAGCCAGGACAGACAAAAGGAAGTGCTTCTTTGTACAATGCATTTTTAAAATTGCTTTCAAAAGATGTAATGGTGACCTCCCATGCAGATGTCTTTAAAAGAGATTAGAGAATTTCATGGAGGATAAGAATGTCCATGTCTATGTGTCATGATGGCTATATTTTACCTCTAGTATCAGAAATAGCATGGGGAGAACAAGTGGAAGAATGCTATTGCATTCACATTCTTCCTATGGTTTTCCTTTTGGCTGGTCATCGGTGAAGCAGAATGCTGGACTAGATAGATCTTTGGCTTGTCTTGCCAGGGCTCTTTGTTGGCAAAATTGGTCTTTGGGGTTGCTTGATCTTTATTCATAGGTCACTTGATCAGTACTTTCCTCCAGTTTCTAGACTGTTTTTCACCTTCTGGAAATAGCAGAATAATGGATAAAAAGCTTTTATCAATAAAAATTGCTATCTTGAAGACTGTCAAAATAAGTTGCTATTGGAACACCCTCCTTCTTTGTTGGAAGGAAAATTGCCATCACTTGTCTAGTGGCTTCAAATAAATGCTGCACTCATTTCCCTAGAGTAAGATATTCTGACTCAAATTTCCTGCATAAAAGGCTGAGCAAAGATTTATTAGGCCATTGTACAATCAAAAACAATGAAATATCCTGTACAAATTTCCAGTCAAGTCTTGTGTTTAATAAACATCATGCCAGAATTTCCACGGGTATTGCACCTCATCAAATATTTGTCATCTTCAGTTTTTATGGGTGAGAAGCAAACAATGAATGAACAAAAAGTGGAGGTGGGGAGAGGAAAGCCTCTTGTAGTAGAAAAGGCCATCAGAAAAATCACTGCTAGAAAACACTAATGTCCAATACAGTATTTTTCAAAGGAAAGAAACATGCACTAATAATTAATATTATAATAAATGCTAGATCAGCTTAAGTAATAATTGTCAATAATAAAAACAGATTCACTTTCTACAGTGTCCTGAAGGACTCACACATAGTAGTTGTCCAACTACTGCAGAGACCAGCAACAATGTGAGGCAGGTTAGTTAATCTATTTCCTGACATTGTAATCTTTTTTTAGATTGGCCAATCATAGCTAGAAGCATCTTGATTGGTATACATTCTTTCGTGTTTGTATCACCGATTGACACTTCATAGTGAAATTATATAAATCTTTGTGACTGGTAATTTTACAGCTAGTCATGACAAGAACCTATATGAGCTTGCTGTGTTTTGAATTTTTCTGAGGAGACCCTCTTTCTTCAAAGATACATTTGGTGGGAACATAGAAGAGGGCCTCCTCAGTAGCTGCCCTCAGACTCTGGAAATCCCTTCTTAGAGGGGTTAGACCAGGGGTATTGGGCAACATGGCTGAGGCTTCTGGGAGCTGAAGTCCCTCGGCCCTTAAAGGGGAAAGGTTGCCTACCCCTGGGTTAGACTATCACCCTCCTTGCTGTCTTTCCACCGGCAGGTGACATGTCTATTGTTGTTGGATCAGTATCTTTTATAATTATGCTTTAGAAAAGCTATTAAAAGCAACAATAAAAAGCTTGGTGTCTGCATGTGTATTGAAGATGTTTGTCCATCAAGTGAGAAAAAGGTTTGTTGTTCTTCTTAGCTGCCCTTGAGTTGGTTCCAATTCATGGCAACCCTGTGGATGAGACATCTCCAAGAATCCCTATCTTCCACTGCTTTGCCCAGATCCTGCAAGCCCTTCTCCATAACCCCCCTAATTGAGTCTATCCATCTGGTTTGTGGTCGTCCTCTTTCTTCTACCCTCTACCTTTCCTTGCATTATTTCCTAGCATTTTAGTGATTTGTGCCTTCTAATTATGCGGCCAAAGTACAATAGTCTCAACTTGATCATCTTTGCTTCCAAGGAAAGCTCTGGTCTGATCTGTTCAAGAACCCATTTGTTTGTCTTCTTGGCTGTCCATGGTATCCTAAGTAATCTTCTCCAACACCACATTTCAAATGAGTTGATTTTCTTTCTGTCTGCTTCCTTCACTCTCCAGCTCTATTTCCTATTATTCCAATTGCACCTGAGGACTGAATACAATGCTAGTTTCTTCTGGTGTGATTGACTGTATTTAGGCTGACTCTGTGGGCACAGTGGTGTAAGTATGTGATTGATGCACTGTTTTTTCTGTATGTGTACTTACATTTTACTATGCTATCACAAGGACTTTCAAGAGAGGGCAGTGAAACCACATTGTGGTTAGACATGAATCCACAGGTGACACAGCTTGGCTGTCACATAGTTAACCATTTTGACTATTATCTTCAGTAAAGCTTAGGGATTTTTTTTTGAACTGTAGCTCCATTCATCCTCCAGCCACAATGGATAGTGTTCATATAGGCTGGAGGATTCTAGGGAGCTGTTGTCCAATAAAGACTTCATTGTCTTTGAATATCTTTTTTATTTTCTGCCTCACTGGAGCAGTGGTGCCACTAGGTTTGGTGTCACCTGGTGCAGTAACTTGTGGTGTCACATCTCCCTCAGCATCTCAATGTACTAGACCATACAAAATCCTTCGTAATTTGACAAAATCAGTGACTATAAAACAGAAGCAGCACTCAAACAACAACATCATTGCAATTGGGTAATAATGACCACTCTGCCTGCAGCACATGTGCATTAGAAGTTAATTAGTATAGGGTTTTAGTTTCATAGGTGAATTGATACAGTATAAGCTGGGCTTACAAAAAAAAATGTGTTTCTGTTTATAACTAATGTTGTTGTATGCCTTCAGGTCCCTTCCGACTTATGGTGACCCTATTATGGGGTTTTCTTGGCATGATTTGTCCACAGGATGGTTGCCATTGCCTTTCCCTGAGCTGAGAGTGTGTGACTTCTCCAAGGTCACCCACTAGATTTCATGGCCAAGCTGAGAATTGAACCCTGGTATACAGGGATATTTTTATTAAAATAATATATTGGTTTTGCTGAAACAGTGTTCAAAACTTTTATATATAGTCATTTTGTGATGAACCCAATATATATATTAGTAAAGAATACAAACTGTTGCATTTTGGAAGCCATCAGATGTGCCTTCCTCTGAGGGTGAAAGAGTTCATTGCTTGAAGACTTTCTGTTCTCATAAGAGACTCCTTCCCATCTGCAAGATGGTTTTGTTATTTAAGCTATTAGGAATTATAGCTCTAGAACAAGAGCTGGTATGTTTAAGGTGGATCCGTATCTACTGCTACATAGGTATCTGGCTAACTTACAAAAATGTTGGCAAGAGTTCTGGGACCCAAATGTCTAAGAGAAGCAATAATAAATTGTATTTTTACTATCCACATTGATTCTGAAATGGAGGAAAGCTTGCAGTAACCAGTAGTAACTTGTAAAAGGACTATACTGTATTTGAAATCTGTTGTTGATGTTGTGTGCCTTCAAGATATTTCTGAGTTATGTTGACCTTAAGGCAAATCTACCACAGGAATTTATTGACAGAATTTGTTCAGAAGGGGTTTGCCCTTGCTTTTCTCTGAGGCTGAGAGAGTGTGACTTGCCCAAGGTCACTTAGCAGGTTTCCAAGACAGAGCAGGGATTTGAATCCTGGTCTTCCAGCATACCAGTCCAACACACAAACCACTGCACTATGCTGTCTCTCAACCCATTTAAAATTACTATCAAGAAATATATCCTTAGGCTCAAAATATGTTCAAAAGTACCCTGTTCTATATATACTGCTTTTACATAGGGCTCCAATTAATGGATTTTATGATTGTACTAAGAAAATAAACAGGTTCCACTCAAGCAATCTCTACTCTACAAGTTTCCCAGGATTGTGAATCCCTACACATTATGCAAAGCAAATAGTTGGGAAGACACCCCCTTTAAGTTTTGACTAAAGCAGACCCACTGAAACAGTAAGACCAGTTAAGTCAAGGTTTGTGTAGGTCCCATAGATTTAATGGGTCTACTCTAGCTGTGACAAATCACAGAATGCTTGTAAAAAGGGAAAGAATTTACTCCAATGCTACCAGCTTCTTTCTCTCACTATGTCTCAAAGGTGCTACAAGGTCCCTTTGCAGACTGACTTTCCAGGCTGACATGGCTAGGTGTTTGAATTGCTTCAATTATGTCCAAGGTAGGATGTATGCATACCACACTATTATAGCAGTTTGATTGCAGTTTAGCTGTCATAACTCAGTCAAAGGAATCCTGGGATTTTGTTGTGTGTCCCCCGCTTCTCTCTCTCACACTCAGTGAAAACGCCTAGCAGCCCCTCATTTTGCTGGGGAATGAAACTCTAGTGCAGACCAGATTCAAACCCACACATGAAGCTTTGCTCCCACAACTCCATACTTGGGGTGTGGGACATGGAAGCAGATGGGCTAGGAAAAGCTGCTGCAAGAAAAAAGCAACCCACTTATGTGCAACATTCCTGTTTCCCTCCCTCCAAACTTTTTTTTTGGGGGGGGATGCAGACCGGCACTTCAGCCCGACTTGGGGGTGGAGTTGGGGCAGGGTGAGTGCAAGCCAGCCGTCCTGATTCTGCCTCAACTTTGCCCTGACACCGCACACCCGTCTGCATAGCATGCGGCGTCAGGACGCCCTCTTGGTGCAGTGTGCATGCATGCTGCACCAAAGGGGTGCAAAAGAGCTGTGGCAGTGGCGGCTCTAAGGGCGGCTTTTTGCCACTCCCCAAAAGAGCAGCATGTCAGCCTGGTTGCGCCAGCAGCACTACACCATGTTGAAGCTGTGCACCTGGATGGCCACCAAAGAAGCGACATGGAGCTCTGTGCAGGCTGGAGAACTCCCTCCCTCCCTCCAGAAGCAGGCAAACACAATATCTCTCAAGGAGGCTCTTTAATCTTCCTTCCTCTATGTCCTCTATCTTGACCAACAAAGCTACTCGCCTTACACCACACACCAACGATCCTACATTGTACAAAGACGCTCCTCCCTTATATACATTATTTTAGCCACCCCGATTGATCTCAAAGGGGCGGGATATAAATAAAATTTA